GGTGAAAATCAACGAAACTCGCAGGAAACCTTCCTCACGCGCCCTACAAACAAACGAACCGTTTACTTTTTTGATTTTCATCCGCGTTTTGCGTAAAAATCGATTGTTAACGCGTATCTTGCAAACAAAATCCGCGAACGAAAAACGCAAAATTTACCGCGAAAAACGACCCGAAACCACCGGAAAACATCGAGAATGGGAATTTGAACTAATTTTGAGTAAGACCAGGCAAAAGAATCACTCGAATTAAGCGAAAAACTTAACAAAGTGGAGTTTAGCATAAGGCCTAAGGGGGTCAAGAGCACATACCTGCAAGGGGGTGCAAGGTGAACTGAGGTACAGGCATAGCAGTGCCAGACCTCTGCAGCTTCCTGGTGAACCTGAAGAAGTTAGGGGAGGCATGTGTGGTTGTTATTACCACTGTAATTGCTCCCCCATGAGAACGTTTTCCTGTGTAATGTCTTTCAGCATGGCTGAGACGTGATCAGGGGAGGTGTGGGAATCGAACGAAAATTCGATCCTTTTTCCCGCTGACTGAAACACTTTGAGAAAACTTGGTACGCAGGAGCTTTTTCTCGTTTACCAGGGGAGATTTGTAGTCATATTTACGACCACAACACCCTTCACTTTACGCGTGACCCTTTTAAGCTAATGTATTTCCGCTACGCTTGGCTGCGCCTGGCGCGCTAGTAATTATATTTCCCAATCCCGTTGTTGACGGAATTCTTTCTCAACCGCGCTCACGCTTCCTTCCTTTAAAGAAACGAAGCGTGACGTCCCCGATCCGAATCGGCTCTCTATGCGCGTCCCGTGACCGTGGCCAGCTGAGGCTATATATACAGGTGCATTTTATGTTGCTTTAAGTTGATCGCACCAGACCTTGTCCGAACGCTGACTCTACGCCGCTTTGCTCTGTAGAACGTATTGTTATCGACTGTGTGTGAAGATAAATAAATATCATTTTGAAATACTCTCACGGAGTAGCTTTTGCGTTTCCTTCGAAAGTCGCGGAAAACGATTTAAATCTCCGATCCCTTTTTCCTTTAATTATCAGAAAGAGTTCTCAACGACTGATCATCGTTGATCCCTCATTCGTAAAATAGTTTTTGGATAACAAACGCAAACACAAAGCTTTAAGTCCAGTGGACTGAGAAACACACACTAAAGTTTTACTTCAGAAAAGTACTAAGGTTAGCTAATCCTGACTCTGCTGACTTAACTCTAGAATGGTTCTGAAGAGCCAGGAGAAAGTCCTGCTCTTTATATACTGCCTGTTTGGGAGGAACCAGGAAGAGGAAATATTAATGTGCATTAGATGCACACCTCTAGAGGGCAAGGTTGCCCACAACACATTTGAACCAGGAACCAGGAAGAGAGAAATGCAGAGTCATTTCTCTAATCATCTTTTACCATTATACTGCAAAGAGGGTGTTCCTCTCAAGAATCATTTATTCTTGAGAAGGTTAACCTTTAACTTTAGAATAACAATGACTTGCATCTCACACAGGAAGGTTGAATATTGGGAGTGGTCTTTCAGAGTGAGAATAACCAGAGAAAAGCACTTCCTGCTTTTCCAGGATAACAGCTTCTTGTTGAATTTTTTGCCATTTGAATTCTGTATCTTTTTTCAACAGCAAATATAAGGGTTTGGCTTTTAACGCAAAATTCTGAATGTAAGATCAAAAATACCCAACTAACCCCAAAAAAGCTTGTACACCCTTAACGTCAGTTGGAATAGGGAAATTTTGTATTGCCTCTATTTTTGTGGGGTTAGGAGTACCCAGCAAATAATTTGGACATTGCAAAATGTGTTGGTAGGGCATTCTCATGCCATTATGGCAAGACCGTTGTGAAAACATCATCTTGGTCTTTACTCAATGCCTTGCCCCTAATGTTGGCAGGGGGCATTTTGAAATGGGCTTGGAACCCATTGCCAACAGGGTGGAAACTGTTGAGCCTAGAGGCAATAAAAAGGGGCAATATTGCCTACCATTCAATTGCCATTGCCAAAGGCATTCCCAAGGTGATGCCAATGGCATTGCCCCAATGTCTGACAGCCCTAAAAAAATAAAAGATAAAAAATTCTGCATTCCCTTGCTGCTATTTATTTCTTCATATTGCCTTCTTTGTGTTATACTCTTTCCTCTCTCTTCTTTTACTTCATTTGTGTGCTTTCTATTCACAATATTCTTTGCTGCTGCTGCTCATTTGCTTTGAATCTGCTTTCCTGATGATGCCCCTGGGTTTTGAACTGGGCGGGACATGCATCTGAGTGAGAGTCAGTCACCTTCACATCTAGCTATGCACTCACAAGCTAGATCCAATGTGAATAGGTATGCTACTTATACTAAATGAGGTATTTCCATATTCAGTCATAAAATCAGGAGCTGCAATATTTGTGTGGTAAAAAAGGAGTTCATGAATTTATTTTCTATATGATCCTCACCTCCATTTCAATCATTAAAAAATCACAGCTTCATCTGCCTTGATGTAATAATTGTAGCAATATTTTTTGCATTTGGCAATGGCAATTGAATGGTTGGCAATATTGCCCTTTTTATTGCCTCTCAGGCTCAATGGTTTTAACCCCATTTGGCAATGGGTTCCAAGCCCATTTCAAAATGCCCCCTGCCAATATTAGGGAGCAAGGCATTGATAATTGGAGACCAAGATGATGTGTCCACAATGGTCTTGCCATAACAGAATGAGAACGCCCTCCCAATGCATTTTATTGCAACATCAAAATTATTTGCTGGGTTGTTGCCATTTTTTCTCCTCTTCTTTGAGGTGAAACCAAATTTTGCAAAAATAGTCCAACTTTGCAGCCCAAGGGTTAATGAGCAGAATGAGGGGCAAAGGAAAGTTAGAGCAAATTAGCACAGCTGATAACAAAGCATTCCTAGTCAAAGGCTTTTTCCCTCAAACCTCCATAAGTTGAATTTTCTGTGGCTTGTTGGCTTTTATTCTTTTGATACAAAAAGGAAAAAAGCAATAAAAACATAAATTGATTTGTTCTAAAAGGAGGGAGAGACTTGATTGGAAAAATGATCCTTGCCTCCAAGTTCAGGATGTTTTCAACTCATTTAAGGAGTAAGTTAAGCCTCAAAATATTACAATTCACAGTTTTGAGCCATTTTTCTGTTTCCCAACACAAGAGGGCTTTGTATTGTAGCTCAATTCAAAACCTCTCTGAGTCAAAACCTCCCTTAGTCAATTTTTTTGCTGGTCCCTTGAAGTTCAACTTAGAGAGGTTTGACTGTACTGTAAAAGTAAATGTCTTTCACCAGCACCCTTGCAGCTACATTATCCCCATGTAGGGTGGGAATTTGCAAGACTTTCTGGAGCTATCCCCCACTTGAGGAGAGCCAGACTATAGCTATCTCCATCTTCCAACAACAGTGGGTACTGTTTTCACCCACTTACTGCTGGTGCATTGGGGTTGGTTATAGGTAAAGTTAGAGTATAGGTCAGGTTATGTCTGTTAAACATATTTCTACCATATACTCTGATATCTGTTCACTAAAAATATTTTAACCGACCTGACCTGGGTTTTCTGCAAAAACTGAACTTGAGAGGCAGTTAGGTCAGGTTATGTTTCAACTATATATTTTGATATCTGATCATTAATAATATTTCAACTGACATAACCTGACCTAACCTAACTTTACCTAACTGCCTCCCAAGTTCAGTTTTTGCAGAATCTCAAGAAATAACAAAGTGCCATTCTTAGCAACATCTATGGGCATAGTTTTGCGCGTGGCTCCCCCCGCGTGGGAAAGCTCCACCTTTCTTTTTCTTGGGCACACTTACGCATACCCTTGTATAGTATATGGCATATACAGGTACAGTTCATGTACCAGTACTAGACGTAGGACATGGGTGTGACGGCGTTCCAGTTTCGGTGACCCAGTGATGCAGGCATTTCATCACGCTCCGTGTAGTGTGCAAAAGCGACATCTGCGAGCACAGAAGTCTTTTCAAGCTCCATGTCATGAAGAACAGTTCTATGATATATGCTCGAATCCGTGAAATCGCAGTCAATATGGCATCTGACCCAATCGCAGGAATCGAATACGGTGGAGCAGTTTCTCAAGTCAGTCCGACAGTAAAGATGCAGCGAGGCGAATTATCAGGCGGATGTGCATCGCGAGTGTGTTGTTCGAAGTTGCGAATGGCGTCAGCGAAGGTGGCTCAACCGTTGTACACATCGCGCTACGTCATTTTGAGGCATCTTCATCCCCATTGAACATGATGGTGAAAGCATCGAGCAGATAAATTGACATTAGCTGAGATCGTCCTATTATAGAGCATGAAAGTAAAGTAAGTTGGAATGTGTTCGTGCTTATTATTTTGTGGTTCACTATGTCCGGGTTCACTATGCACGTCATTCTTCTCGGAAGTTTCCTTGGAAATGGCGTAACTTTCCCTCGTAGTAACTCATGTTTCGATGTTGACTGGAGAAACCTAAAATTCAGGTTACCGTCCGTGTTATGCGTGTCTGCCGGGGAAACTCATTCTCGAAATTATATTTCTGAAGTTTTATTTTTCGTTTTATCATCGTTCCGTCTGGGAAGATGCGCGAAACCATTATTCGTTCCGAAGCTACCCGACTCGAAGTCCTTGTAATTGGATGAGCTGTTCCTTGAAAATCTGGAACACTCCATTGGTTCCGATAAAACTGATAACGGGGCCGAAGATGATGCGGTGGTTGAGAAACTCACAAATAGAATAAGTCACGTACGCCGCAACTATCTCTTGCACCACGAGATCAAAAGCGTGTCGGGTGTTCTGTGTTGCTTGCACACAGGGCCCGGTGTCGCCGGTGGTTTGAGCTCAACGCATCAAAGCGCCGAACGGAAGAATTCTAAGATGTGATGAAGGATGAACGACAATCCCGGAGCTAATTGTTTATCTTACCATCATGACGTGTTCAGTTCAGTTTACCAAGAGAAGGTCGTGCTCTTGTTGATGTGGATAGTGATATTCCATTTCTTCTCATCGTAGGACCCGGTGACCATCGCGAGTATGTCCATCTCGTCGTGATGAAAGCCATAGGAATCGAACTTTTTCATTATTTATTTCTGGTTAAGCCCTAGCTTTTGACCCTAAGTGTTGATTGCAGCGCGGAATCTCAGTGTCTTTCTTGGCGCCATGGCCACGGTCAACGGGCGTCCAGCCCAATATGGAATCAGCCTCAAGCAACTTCGCGATCTCATGGAAGTTCGAGGCAGAGAAGCCATCGATAAACTGAACTCCGAATATTCGGGTGTTCTAAATATCTGCAAGAACCTCTATACTTCCCCCACGGAAGGTGAGAAAGTCTTCATAATAACAGAAGAGCAAATCTTACCATTCTGCTCTACAGGATTGAGCGGGAATGCCGCGGATCTTGATCACCGGCGGCAAACCTTCGGATCAAACGTGATTCCCCCTCGCCCTCCGAAGACGTTTCTTCAGCTAGTGTTCGAAGCTATTCAGGACGTCACACTCATTATTCTTATTGTTGCTGCCATCGTGTCTCTCGGATTATCTTTTTATCCTCATGGCGGTGAGATTCATTTATCTTCAACATTGTTTTTCGGCGCCGTTCGAATGATTAAATGTTGGTTTTCTCTTCCTCTCACTCTTTTTTTTTTTACCACAAACGTGACCTGTCGTGGCTTTCTTTCGGGAACAGGACCAGAGAGTAAGCACAAATGACCTTCCGTGTCTTCGTTGAATTTATCTCAACGACCGGGTTTGTTTGTTTACGTAGAGAATGAAGGCGCAAACTATGGTCACGCGGACGAAACGGAGAGTGAAGCTGGATGGATCGAGGGTCTGGCAATCTTCATCTCTGTCATTGTTGTTGTCATCGTCACAGCTTTCAATGATTACACCAAAGAACGGCAATTTAGGGGACTTCAGTCCAAGATAGAGGGAGAGCACAAATTTGCGGTTATCCGAAACGGGGAAGTTGAGCAAATCAAAGTCGGAGATCTTGTTGTTGGGGATATTTGCCAAGTAAGTCTTTTTCGAATATTTTGCTCTGACCTACTTCAATATGAGATGTTTACGTTTGAGTTCCTGTATACGTCTTGATAAATAACCTTTATGCGCCTGCGAAGGAGTCGAGTGCGTACGTCGACAGGATCTTTTGTCTCCTCTTTAGTATCTCAAACCCCATCATGATTTCTTCGGATATGAATCTCTGTATTAATGATCTGTTCGCGATTTTATTTTGCGCTTGACTAGCTTCTATCTACGCTTTTTTCGCAGATCAAGTACGGAGATTTATTGCCAGCTGATGGAATCTGCATTCAGAGCAATGACCTAAAAGTTGATGAATCTTCTCTTACCGGGGAATCGGATCACGTAAAGAAAGGCGAGAATTCTGACCCCATGCTGCTTTCGGGTGAGTTGAGAGTCTTGAGACGTTTTCAGGAGCTGTGTTCTAGAATTCGGGAGTTAATTGTCAATAATTCGGGAATCATTTAGGTACACACGTCATGGAAGGCAGTGGAAAGATGGTCGTAACGGCCGTCGGAGTAAATTCGCAAGCTGGTATTATTTTCACTCTTCTCGGGGCTGCGGTAGACGAGCAAGAGAAGCTGGCGAAGGATAACAAGGGCAAGCAGAAGAAGGGTCGAGGTTCTGCCGACGTCGAACAGGGTTTGCCCAATAGTCACCAGGCCCCACCGCCACCCCCAGCTGCCCCGACTGTCCCTGTTATTCAAAGTCCGCAGGATGACAAGCCTCGGGAAGAGGGCGAGCATTCGGCGAAGAAGGAAAAATCTGTTTTGCAAGCGAAGCTAACGAAGTTGGCCATTCAAATCGGTTATGCTGGTGAGTCAAGCTCTCTCTCCCTCTCTCTAGTTCGCGTTATTTGTATGATATGAAATATTGCTTATCTTCAGTGCGTCGTGCTGACGAATTCCTCAACATTTCTTCAAAGCAATATTGGCATGCTCTCGTTCTTGAAGGGCAACAGTTGAAATGGCTTTGAGGTCGGGTTGAAGACGGAAGATCATTTTTTATGATGATTTTCCATCTAAAGTAAAACAAAAGTGATAAATTATCGGTGAAAATTTTTGGGGACTTCGGAAAAGTTTCATGTACCGATTAATTACAGTTAAAATAATGAGATTTTCAAAATTATTGATTGGAAGAAATGTTCACATCAGACCTGTCCATAATCAATTAGATCTTCCTTTCCTGGCATTCTCAGACTTTTTATCATTTTTGGAAACACAGTGATCTTCTGAAAAAAGTATCGTAGCTTCAATCGTGCATTCCTTCGGTTGCACAAATCTCTTCATTCTGGGAGGTTGATGTGTAGAACGACTTGAAGACATGTTCGTCTTTGAGTGCAGCTTCCATCCATGCTATAAGAGCCAGTTGTAAGATCGGATTGGAAATTTCAGAATGTATTTGCCTTAGTCTTGAAATTTCTGCTTTGAGAATCCGTTAAAAATGAAAAAATTGTCCAATGCTGAAATTGGAAAGTTTGTTATAACGACATTGTTTGAAAGTGTAATCTATAGCACTATAGGCTCTCTGCCAGGACTTGAAGAATTTTTAATACAGTACTGACACATTTGTTGTAATGGTTTTTGTTGTAACAAGATTTTACTGTATATTTGCAGGGTCTTTCATTGCTGTATTGACGGTGATCATCCTGATCGTGCGATTCTGCATCCACACATTCGTAGTGGAACAGAAGGAATGGAGTGGCTATTACGCCAATTATTTCGTGAAGTTTCTGATCATAGGTGTCACTGTGCTTGTCGTTGCTGTTCCTGAAGGTCTGCCGCTAGCTGTCACGTTATCTCTTGCCTACTCCGTGAAGGTAATTCGTTTCTCTTGTGGTATTTCGCCTCTTCTGTCACGGCATTTTTTGGTGCGAACGCGAGATACTTGTTATTTGTAGAGTCAAGTTCGTGAAACTGAAGGTGCGGTCACGTGCCGTAAGTATACTGTACTTCAAAGTGTTTTATGTTGCGGAAGGCAGCCGTATATTCTCGATGAAGTTATGATTTTGGCACTGAACTCTGAATTAACCTTTTCCGCGTTTTCGTGCTAGAAAATGATGAAAGACAACAACCTTGTGAGGCACTTGGACGCGTGTGAAACGATGGGAAACGCCACGTCGATTTGTTCCGACAAGACCGGCACATTGACTACAAATCGAATGACGGCTGTTCAGGCGTTCATCGAAAGCGAGCATTTTCGCATGGTCAGGCGCGAAGATGCCAGCGTGATTTCTAAGAAGACCTTGGATTTGGTGTTCCAAAGCATCGCGGTCAACTGCGCCTACACAAGTCGTGTTATCGTAAGTGTCAGATGTTGCCTCTGATGAGGCCCGAAATATGTGGAGCATTTAAAAAACAGAGAAATATTATTGCGAGAATAATTCGAAATTCTGAAAATCCTTCGCTTGTACGTGTCTTGAATGTGTTCTCTTTTTTTTTTTCTTTTTTTTTTTTTAATAAAGCCACCGTCAGGCGACATTGAGGGCGAATTGCCGAAGCAAGTGGGGAACAAGACAGAGTGCGCCCTGTTGGGTTACGTAATGGACCTTGGAGGTAGTTACGAGAAGATCCGCGAGGAATACACCGAGGAAAGTCTGTACAAAGTCTACACGTTCAATTCGGACCGGAAATCCATGTCTACCATCATTCGATTGCCAGGAGGAGGATTCCGTGTTTGCTGCAAGGGAGCTTCTGAAATCGTCATGAAAAAGTAAGCAGCCTTCTTGACTTTTTTCTAGTTGATTGGGCAATGCAGTTCTAACATTCCGTTGCAACGAATCTCGTTATAACGCATTTTTTCTTAGTTCCAGGCCAGCACTTTCTTCGTACGGACAATGTTGTAAAGATTTCGTTATAACCAATTAATGTTCCTTCTATAATCTCAGAATATTTGCCTTAATTGCACTGTATGTTTATGGGCCATCGACATTTTTATTCATTAGCCCAAAATGGGAAAATCCAATTTGGGCGTAATTGAAAAATGTTCAAAAAATATAGATGCTACTGTTTTTTGCAGAAAATTTAGCATTGTAGGAGGTATGAAACTGTAATAAGAAATTGTTTACCTCTTTTTATACTTCCGAAATGTCTGATTAAGAAAATGTTTGAATTGAAATAATACTGCTTCATTTTAGGATACTTACAGTTTTTCATGAATAAATGCTCTTACGCGTGTACCGGTATTCTTTTTTAGCTTATACTTCAGGAAGATCAGTTCCGTATATCTCGAGGTAATTGAAGAAAAGGAAGGTCCGGAATGCAAGCGTTGTAAATTAAATTCTGAAATTCCGTTATTATTTTTTCAAAATAATTAGGAAATACATCTGTTATGGAATTACTTTAAAGCATTTTTTACATGTTTCTTTTACTAAAACCCGAATTTTTTTCCCAGAAGTTTCAGTATTTGGAACTCGGAACCATGACGAATTTATCTTCTCCGTATATTAGTCATGCTCTACAATGATCACACGTTTTGCTTTACAGTACTGTACTTGTAAGAAACTTGAAATATCATATTGTTTCAGGATTTTCATTAAATTCTTTTAATAATTTCAATGTGATGATATCTCTGGGTTGTTAGACTGCGTTCGTTTCTTCATTGCCTTGAAATTCCATGCAGAGCTTTCTTACTCTTGATGAAGGTGTTCGTTTATGATCGGCAACCGAGGCGAACTGAAGAAAATGACGAAAGACATGCAAGATAAGTTGGTCCGAGATGTAATCGAACCTATGGCGTGTGACGGCCTCCGAACTTTGTCCGTTGCGTATCGAGACTTCGTTCCGCACAAGGCTGAAATCAACCAGGTGCACTACGAGACTGAGCCGAACTGGGAGGATGAGACGAATATCATTACCAACCTAACGTGCCTCTCGATTTTTGGCATCGAGGATCCCGTCCGTCCTGAGGTACTTATTTCATTTCCGTAATCCTTTTAAATTTTTCGTCATTTTCTTCACTCGGTAGGGTTTCCTTCGTCTTATGCAATTTGTTTTATACCATACTTGAAATTTTGGATGGTTCTTTTCGTATTACCGGGAATTTGTCTTGCTTCGGTTTTGGTTGTCCAGTGAACCAAGACAATGAACTATGAATGAAACTTTTTGTCGTTCATGACCGATGCTTCAGATTCGCAGATTTTTCAATGCATCTCATGCGACTAAAAATGAGATCAGTAACCGTATGGCTTGAATTCTAGTTTGTACAAGATTTCAATGTAAAAACGATACAAAAGTTTTCCGAAATACACGGATTTCTTTAAATTATGGGTACTTCGTGGCGTAATAGAATATTATCAAGGAAAATCGTTGATTCCTTGCACAGTGCGAGAAATAATGAAAATTTTTGCACGGAAAGTAAGCCCAGTTAGAATAAGCCTATATCTCCCCAGCGAAAAATCCTGCATCAAAGGTGTTTGAAGTAACTATCTTGATTTGTTTCAAAATACAAATTTTTGGACAGCAATGGGGAAAGTGGTACAGTAGTGTAATAAATTGTTTAATGGTATGATGCAACGAGTGTTCATGTGAATTTTTGCCTTCCGGTCTTTTCATGAGCAGGAGAAAATTATTTCCTAATGTATTCTTATTGTTTATTTTTATTTTCTTATTTATTTAAGAATATATCGTCTTCCATGTGCCCCAAACTTTGAAAAAAAAAGATTTCCCAGTAAGGAATGAATCGCTGGAAATTGTTGGGTTTTCTATCGGACGTCAAGAGCTATTTTTAGGGGTTCGCAAAGCCTTTGAGAAGCTCCTCTCTTTTCTTAGATTTGTTGTTTCGAATTTTGATGTTCACGAGAAATAAAAGCGCATAGCAATAGCCAGATTTGAAATGTATGGTGAAATTTGTATATGTCAGTGCAAAGATTCTCGTGTAGATAGAGGTACAGTACATTAATTGATTGTTTTAAATGCAGTGGATCTTGTGCTTTGACGATTTACGAAATTCTACGAAAAAACGTACGATCCCTGTACAAAAGAAACGAACATCGCTGTTCTTTCGTTTTGCGGATTTTTGATTGGACTCGACTTTCTTGCAGATTAGTTACGTATTATTCATACTGTACTCTTTTTTTCAGGTCCCGGACGCCATTAAGCAATGTCAGCGAGCTGGAATCACAGTCCGGATGGTTACTGGAGACAACATCAATACCGCTCGATCAATTGCGGGCAAATGTGGGATCATCAAACCGGGAGATGATTCGTTGATTCTTGAAGGCAAAGAGTTCAATCGGCGTGTGCGTGACGCATCTGGTCAGATTCAGCAACATTTGATCGATAAAGTTTGGCCGAAGCTGCGAGTGTTGGCCCGGTCTTCGCCCACGGACAAGTACACTCTCGTCAAAGGCATCATTGATTCCAAAGTGAGCGAAAATCGGGAAGTCGTTGCTGTGACTGGAGACGGTACAAACGACGGACCTGCTCTGAAGAAAGCGGACGTTGGATTTGCCATGGTTAGTTTTATTTTTCCTGCTTTTATTCCTCGTGAGCATTGATCCGAAAAGTTAAGTAATTCCAACTTCTGTGTAACGATTTGCTTTGTGATCAGGAATTACGTTTTGGTCATGAAGTTTTAAGCAGTTTTCGTGGCGAAACCCCGAACGAGAGATTTTCCGCCTTCTACATTTTTACCCATTTTGCGTCTTCCTTGTGATCGATTCATTACTCGAACTTTAAATGTTGTGTTGTGAAAGGTGCAGAGGAAAAACGTTCAACACGAGAAAACTGCAGTACATTACGAGAAAGAAATACTATAGTTTTTTTTTTTCATTTCACCGGTCTTCTTCCGTCCAATTTCCTATGAATGCCATCTTGTACCCTCAAATCGGACCCATTTGTTCAATGACATGTTGTGTTTGTGATAGACTCTCGTTGACTCTGAAGTACCAGTGATTAATTTACGGCGTTCATGTTCTATCTGCAGGGTATCACTGGAACTGATGTTGCGAAGGAAGCCTCCGATATTATTCTCACTGACGACAACTTCTCAAGCATCGTTAAAGCCGTAATGTGGGGTCGCAATGTTTACGACAGTATTGCTAAATTTTTGCAGTTTCAATTGACCGTGAACGTGGTTGCCGTCATCGTTGCTTTTGTTGGTGCTTGTGCCATCGAAGATAGTCCGCTCAAGGTATTGCTGGGTTAACCCTTGCATTCGGATGGTTTATTGTGATAGAGAACTTTTCTGATGAACAGGCTGTGCAAATGCTTTGGGTGAATTTAATCATGGACACGCTGGCTTCATTGGCTTTGGCAACGGAAATGCCCACGTCGGAGTTGCTCTTGAGGAAGCCATACGGTCGCACGAAGGCACTGATCTCGCGAACGATGACGAAGAACATCTTGGGACAGAGCATATACATGCTCTTCGTCATCTTCTTTCTTTTATTTTATGGTAAGTTTTCTTCTTTTTTTTACTTGCCTTCTGACGCAATGTAAGGAGTATTGTTATTTCATTACTGTGGGTTTAGAAGTTTATGGCGTTTTGTGAAAGGAATTCTTCAATGGAATTTCGTGGCCAGATGAAACACATTTAATGTATTTAAATTTGGGCTGTCTAAATTTAAATCCGCTCCTTCATGACGCCTTCTTTGTCATTGAATAACTTCTGAAGTGTAGCATAGAACATGCAGTATAGTAGTAGTACAGTAGTACATTAGCTGTGGGAATATTGTACATTCATTCAATATTCTGTTCAAGTCCTCCTTGCTGGTTCGTTTCTCTCATCAACGCATACAGAGAAATGCTTGGGGGATTTCAGGAATTATTTTCATGTTGAGAATAGCATTTGAAACAAGTATCCTCTTTTTCAGGAATGCACTTCTTCGACATTGATTCTGGAATGTGGGCAGATATTCAGGAGCCGCCGTCTCAGCATTTCACCATTATCTTCAATGCGTTCGTTTTGATGACTCTCTTCAATGAAATCAATGCGAGAAAAATTCACGGCCAAAGGAACGTATTTTCCGGCATCTTCACCAATCCGATCTTCTACGCCATCTGGATTTCCACGTTTGTTTTCCAGGTTTGTAGGATTGTAACTGCAGATGTCTGGGTGATTCCTGTTGCAGTCCTTTGACGGACTGTCCGTGGAGTTGAAAAAGATTGATACTAGAAAGACGCTTCAAGTTCTACTGTAGGAAGGAATATTGCGTATTTTACAGATCGTAATCGTCCAATTCGGCGGACGAGCGTTTTCAACCGCTCCGCTGCAACTTGCCCATTGGCTCTGGTGTTTATTTTTCGGATTTGGAACTTTGTTGTGGGGCCAAGTTGTGACATCTGTGCCAACCAAGAAGATTCCAAAAACTTTGAGGTATGACTCAAATTTGAAGTGTCTTATTTGTGGGTTCCATCGAATGAGACCATATAACTATCTTAAAATTGGAAATACATTTCAAGTTTCATGTTTTTGCTCGTTTAAGCCAATTTCATGATTTTTTTTATGTTTCGAGGTCTTTTGTTGAAATGAAGATTTCGTTGGATGGCGGAAGGGTTGTTGAGGGAAATACAGTGGTGTCCCGAGATGCGAAAGTACCGTAATAGGTGCTTGAACCTCGTCCCTTTGTCGGTCGGATCACGTTTTCCTGTAGACTTCAATGAGAATACTGTATATTTAATTTGTTCCTCTGCTGATCAACAATAGGAAAAAGTCTCCCACAAAAATCTAATAAAATGATTATTTGCGACTTCGAGATGGAGAAAAAAATCTGATCTTCTGGCCTCAAAAGGAGCCGAAAAAAAGAACAAGTTCAAGTCTTCCTCTACTCTCCCCAGATGATTCAAAGAACTCAGAAAAAAAGAAGAAAAAATTGGCTTGTTGTGGATCATGAATTATAGAGAATTTATAATGAGCTTCATTTTAATATTTGTGAATACAGTATAGGATGCTCAATTTTTTCAAGAGGTATCACAATTTTGGAAGATCGATTTTTTAAAATTTGTCTAGAAATGTCGGTAAAGTGTCCGTATCTCGAGAAAGTTCCAGATGTTCCTTGATCGAATCGTCCGTGTGTCGGGGCCTCATTATAGTACTGTTCATGTAATCTGGGCTCAGTGTCGAATTGATCGCGTGATGCTTGAAACTTTGCAGCTACGGTCGCGGTCAACCGGACGAGCTGGCGATAATTTCGGAAACTCTAATGGAAGATGGACATCACGGTAAGGATTGGGATGCCTCTGAGAAGCGCAGATCGACCGGACAAATCCTCTGGATTAGAGGTCTAACCAGACTGCAGACACAGGTAAGGACTTCCACCCTCAACTACTTTGAAATCCCGTTCTTTCCTCTAAGCTTTCTCATCCGGGAATTTATGGGCTGCTAAAACACATCCGTGGTGCTTTGGGCGAGAGAGGATTGAGGTATTTGGGCGTTACGGTGCAGGCTTATGTTGTGTATTGTCTTTTTTTTCATGTGTGTGGGAACGGGATCATCTCTTGTATCACGAAAGGGAAATGAATTACTGTGCGTAAATGTGCATACAGTATTTAGAAAAAAATCGGGACTGTGACGGTTACATTCGGTGTTGAATATGATCAGACGTCTCATCACTTCGTTTGGGAAGTTGGACGGAATTGCGAGGAGACGGTCATTTTCCGGACATCGCAGCACTCTTGTATACAGATTGTAGATTTCTTTCTTGTGAACAGCTGCATGTTCGTCAGAGTGATAACGGTAGTTATTTTACTGGACTGGATCCAATCGTGTTGCATTTCGACATGTGCTCGCTCGCCATGCTATTTTTTCTTCCATTTCAATGGATTCTAAATTTATGAAGACCATGTAGTGATGGAATTCACAGCCGACTTCAAAGAGCAGTAATCTCATAGCCTGTTGAATTGCATTGATTTGATCGAGAGTAACATATTGTATGTTGATGTTTTAATGCACATGCATGCGCAGTTTTTCGCGCGATTTCGAATCAGCGCATGTGGAGAGCTGAAAGCATCTTTAAGAGACTCTAACTTGTCTAGCCTTTAGTGAATAAATATGCTTTCTAGGATTTTTCGGGAAATTAGTGCATTGTTTTGTTGTGTAAAACTATAGACGTCTTTGTGTTTGAATTTCTCGATGAAGTTCTGTTCGAAATTTGAATGAGTAGTTGTTTTGGTAGTTGAATTTCGCTGGGCTTGACGTTGTTCGGTGGCACTCGTCCGGTTTCGGTTGCAAGATTTCTTCCCACCCGTTTTCGTTCTTCACTTTCTGTTGCCGAGTGTGCATGTACCGTAAGTGGACTTGGTTTCGTGATTTCTAAGAATGCCTGCTTGAATATTGACGCTTGTTCGTGTACAGTATGTGAATTACGTGCTGAGACATGTATTGTTGGCTTCTTCGTAGCTGAAAGTGGTCCATGCATTCAAGTCGACGTTGGAAGACATGGAGGACCGTCGTTCGGTTCATAGTGTGCTGCTTTCCGGGAAAAACCAGCGATTCGCCTCCTCCGTCACTCTTCCGAAACTCCAAGCTCTTGATTCCAGGCCTCGGTCCAACTCTGACCGATGCCTCAACTTCGTAGACCCCGATAACTCTGCTTAAAGCGGAGCGATTATTTCGTGACGGAAAACTGGTGTGGTGATGGCGTCTGGTCTTGTGAGCGATTGTGACAGTTTTCAAGAGAAAACCTGAGAGAGGGACCTTCCCTTTTTTAATTCACTCACTCACACACGTTTCGCCGTACGTATTATTATGTGGGGAATTTTTGCGGAGCACTTGGGATTGATCATGAAGAAGTTGACGATATTCAACCTTTGGCCATTTGCTTTCTGGCTCATGCTCGTTTCCGCTGCAAATGGTACCCACGAGACAATCGGTCGAGCAAAAGAAAAAAACTATCCTGGTTGATCAGTGATTACCGTTCGAGTGCTGTACATACTTGGGCATGTCCGCGGTTCGCCCGTATTTATTTTCTAAATTTGCCGATTCGCTTCGTTAACGGGAGTTTTACTCCGGCGATTTGCTTTCGACGCGTTGCTTGTATTAGTGGAACCGTTTCCGCCTAGTTTTTTTGTTTTGTTCAAAAAAAGCGGCCTGTTTTGATCTCAGCGTGTTCGGGGCGAGTGCGACAAAAATGCTTGTGGTTCGCCGTGTCATGAAAAAAAAAAAAGAGGTCTTGAGAGGCTAACATTTGTTCAGTGCGTTAATTCAGGGTTGGGAGTTGTGTGTGTGAGTGTGGGGCTTTAGTTATTCAGGTAATTTTAACAAAAGTCGCGAGCCATTATTTTTTTGTGCTGAATTCGAATGTGATTGAGTGATAGCTTCCGCACAAGTTGCAGTTTGGGTTGGTTTCCCCATTGAACACAAAACCGTGCGAATCGGTGGGACGCCGCGATGATCCTTGTGTCATGGAGTTGAAGACGGGTTGGATATTCACACCGTTCTTGGGAAAGGAACGAGGTCTTTCTTTTTTTTTTTCTGATGTCTAATCGAATAGAGGAGATTAGCATGTGCTGAAGTGAACTTTTGTGGCTTTTTAATTTTTTTTCGCCCATGGGTAATCCTGAGATTTTGTGCCGTTCAAGGTGATCGGGGGTGAGTTACACGAAAGGCTTATGCCAGTTCCATACAGCAAGGGGTCGACTGACCAGGCTGTAAGCAACGGTTCCTTGCTCTGACTGGTTTTTTTGGTCCTTTTTAACAGTTTTTTGCGTCTGTACTGGTTTTTTCTCTCTTCTATGCCCTCCCACGCTACGTCTGTCACGACTTGTGCTCATCTTGGGGGATCTTATCCTCCCGTGTTTCTCTTTTTTCTCGTTTTCTTTGTGCTGCTTTTTAGGAGCCAGGAAATAAGTCTGAGTGGCAACCTGAAGATTTTTTTGAAGCTGTAAGAATAGCACGATTCGTTGGGATGTGTGTAGCCCGTAGCGCAGTGTCCGTGGATTAGTTCATGTCAACCCTGATTTTTGTCTAGTCAAAATCACCGTTGAATGCCAAAAGAAGTAATGGGCTCGAATTAAAAGTCCCATGTTTTGAACAGTGTGCGAACGCGTCGATGAAAAGCACGATTCGATCACTCATCAATAAATCGAAAAGAGATGTACCGTTTGCATGTGATGAACGAATTCCGAGCCATCGGTTCAAAAGTTGAAGAGGAAAAAGATTCTAATCCTGCTCTTCAGAGTGTTTTAAAAGTTATTGTGAATACAGTGAAATCCCGTCGCAACAAATTTTTCAATCTCACGACAATTTCTATCAGTCTCCGCACAACGACCCTAGAGCACATATTAAAACACTCGTCATGACAAACTTTCCAATTCCGGTTTAACATGCAATACTTTTTCAGGAATATTTGATAGATTCTCCAGGTAGAAATTTCCCGACTACAATGCCGGCACAGTCTCAATTTTCCCATTCGAAATGTGGTAATAGTTCTTGTAGGATAAATGGAAGCTGTAATCAATGACAGACTTACCTCCAAGTTACATCATCCTCCAAAAATGAGATTACTTCAAGTGATAGAAATTATAAAAATATTTCCAGAAGGTCTCAGTGTTTCTTTTAATCATAAAAAACTGAGAATGCCAGAAATGAAGCAAGATCTAATTGTTTATAGTGGATGTGGAAATGTTTTAGAGTCATTGATTTCGGGAATTCCATAACACATGATTCAGTTCGATAAAACTTCTGAAATCCCCGAAAGTTTGTTGTTTTGCGCTTTTACTGTATTCCTATTAAAAGCGTACATGAATACAGTGGTATTAATCACGTTTTATTCTGCTCACACGAGTAACAAGTAAATCGACAAGAGTGTTTTCAACTGTTCTGTATAAATATCGTGCACCACAGGAATTTGAAACGCCCACTTCGTTGATAAAGCTGTTCGGTACGTTGAACGATCCACGGAAAATATTTTACGAGTGTTGATGTAGTTTCATGTAGGACGTTGAATTTGTCATTGCATGAAATGTTTACGGCCTGCTCGTGGGAGGTATTTGTTCTTGGCAGTGGTTGAATGTCTTGCTTGCTAGACCTAGAGGACTAATCGTTAGTTGGCGCTTTTGAACGGTTCTTTCCACCGCGTCGACGTCGTACGATTTTTTCCCGAAAGTACGAAGGTTAAATTTTTGTAAGAAAGAAAAAAAAATCGTCCGATTCGAAGTGGGAAGAACCGATTTGAAATTGAAGGAAAAAAGTGCTTTCGCTTGGAGAGGGAATAATGGCTTGTGTGTGTGTGTGTTTTTGGGGGTCCCGGACGCAGATTCGTGTGGTGAACGCGTTCCGTCAAGGCTTGGACACCCGCTACGACCGCAACAATCCCGCCATTCAAGCCGTTTTGCAGAAGCAAGCCTCACTGTCCAAGCGTCTGAGTCAGACGTCGTCCATCGAATACGCCGACACGGCCGCCGATGAACTCACGGTTCCCGATCTGGACCTGGAGCGCATTTCGTCCCACTCGCATACGGAAACAGCCGTGTAGACGCGTTCAAGTCCCGTCCGAACGGGTGTCCGGCATTTCTTCACAGACCCGCCAACGTGTTTTCAATCACCTAGGCTCCGTGGGGTTTCAAATCTTTCTTTCGGCGCCTCGCTGAAACGACGACTGTTTCTTTTTGCAATTTCCGACTGTTGGAAACTCCCGTCAGGGTTTTTTTTTCGGTCTGTCTCACACTTGTTGAGCAGGAAAATCTCGTTACAACAAATTGTTCAGTACAGTATAACAAACTCTTTCTTGGCAGAAAGCCCATAGAGAACAAGCTAAAACGATCTTGTTATAACTAACTTCTCAAAACCAAGAACTGTAAAACACTTTTTCTAAGAATGTTCAATATTCTCAAGGTAAAATTGTCTTGACCATCATGCAGGCACAGTCTGAAATTTCCCATCCCAAATTTGACCTAGGGGTTCTTATTGTAGCATGGAGGGAAGATTTAATCCATGGAAAAAGCATGCTTCCCAGGGGTTACACACATCTTTCTCCCAAACTGAAAAGATTGGTGCAACTGATGGAATGCATGATTGCCCCTGAGTTTTTTTTTCATAAGATCGCCAAGTTTCTCAAACGATAATAAAAAATCTGAGAATGGCAGAAAAGCAGAAAATAATAGAAAATATGCAGGTCTGATGTGGGAATTGTTTTCAGTCAGGAATTTTAAGAATCATTAAAAACGAGTGTGTTCTGAAGTCACCAACAGTTTGTTGTAACGAGATTTTACTGTTTTTACTGAGCGCTTACCTCAAAAAGACATGATTTGATGAATCAATGAGCAGACGGATGTTTTCTTCCCTCTGTGAATTGGTTTTTATCTACGTTGTTCCGGAGTACGAGTCTGATCATGAAGAATTGCCAGGATTCTCGCCAATTGGTCTCCCAAACGAACGCAGCTTCGATTCCTCGCTGTCCTTTTTTTCATTTATTTCAGCTTTACAAAAGCGTCAAGCACTGATGATGCATTTCGTGGAATCCTTGGTCTCGTTGGTGCCGTAATTCGAAGGGCTAGTTACTCCTTGGGTGCGTTCGTTTGGGCCCTTTTGGAAAGTGCTGCCAGGTTATTATTGCGGAGTGAAAAACATTCTTGGCCTCTCGCTTTCCGCTCTTGTTGTGTTGCTCGGCTGTTTTAGCGACTAGTTGAGAGACTTTCGAGGCATTGCATACAAGCTACTTCGTTCATGACGATATGATTTCATGCCCCGTCCTTGGTCGCATTCTATCGCAGACGAGGGTCGGGGTGATTCTAGATATATCCTCACTTCGAAACACTCTCTCTATAGAAAAAGCAACGTTGATTAGTGGTGAATTTTGCAGTGTTAATTGGGGTATATGAAAACTAATGTACTGTATTGCGAGTAACTAAGTGGTCTTGGTGAGATTTAACTGCATACAATACTGTACTCTAGCATTAGGTTGGCGAGAAGGAGGCCGATGCTAACGACAACATGTAACGCATTAATTGCGCGAAAGCCGAGCGTGTTTTGTCTTGTTTTTATTTTTCTCGTCCTTCTGTCTTTGCATTTTTTTGAGGTGAGAAGTTTTGATAGCGATTAGGGCATGTGTGAACTAATCCAGGAGGAGGACTGGTTTTACGAGTGAGTGAGTGAATGGGGCAGGAAGAGTGCAAGGAAGATTTAACCGGTAACGGTGTCGCGAAGAGCCGCATGTGGTGCTCCTTATTACCTCTCACGTTGTTCATGGTTTGAGAGAGGCGCTTTGTGAACAAAGACAAAGGGTTTTCATTTCGTGCAATCCTGGGTTGTGTTTAAGAACGAGGCGGAGGGCATATGTGCAAAAAAGAAGAAGAAAAAAAGCGATTCATTTTGTTTTGTTTTCGTGGAGCCGATTCGGATTCACCATGTGGTGTGTGGCGTTCATTTGTTGGCTTTTGGATGAAGTCCGAGGCTTCCGCGTCCACTAGGGCTTCGTGTAGGCTCGGCGTCGAGCTGGTTTCTAGTCAGGTTATTTTGCGAAATTCATCGCCGTGACGGAATTGCGAGGCGGCCATTTTAGCCTGGTGAATATGCATGAAAAGAAAAAGAAGATAGGCAAGATACGAATTTTGTCTTTTCCTTTGCCTGGTTGTTAATATTACGAAGGGAAGTTTTACGGAATTTCAGTAGCTTACGGGTTCGCAGAATACACGAAGATACGTTGGATGCCCGGTAATGTTCGTGTCTTGTTGTTCTTGCTGATGCTCTCTTACGTGTCGATCCTCAGTGGGGACGGAAGACTTTCATCAGTTTCTTTTAATCACGCATTGGTCCGAGAGTTGATACTGATTACCATAGGTCGCGAAGGAATGTCGGGTAGCACATCCCAGCACTGGAGTGATAATCCGATACGAGCAGTACCCCGATTGGGTAAGAGGCCAGCAGGTAAAAAGAGTATCGTTTTTGAAGAAATCGTGCCAGTTGCTGGCGATAAACGTGCAGCCCGGCCGAGGACCTCGTCTTACTCGTCAAGTTCTCTCAAATATGGTTCGAGCGACGTTCATCAGCAGGGAACGGATGGAATCCATGAGGAGGGATTCATCAAGGTGCATTTTGGCTTATTCTTATGGAGTACTGTCAATTCTTCATTTAGTGCCCCCTATAATGTTATGCCACCCTTGCGTAGTGCACTAGTGCCACAAGATAATCTTCATTTCTGAATTATGGGCCAAATTCAAGAGAAAATATTCAAGCACTTTTTCTCAAGGATATCAACGGGTTATAAGAATTATAACCAAGAATCACATCCCCATGCTCACATGGGATAATTTTGAACCTTCTATTTTCGAATTCATTTTGTTGTTGTTGGTTGTTCCATGATATCTTCCTTCATTGAAAATTGCAAAAAGTGGAAGCATTTGTTGAAACATTGGCAACTCCTTGATGGCACTTGATAGAAAACCCAATTGCACACAAAATCTTGAGAAATGGCTCTGCTTTTTTTTTCTGGTGATCATAACGTGTTCAAGAATCTAATATACACTACTCTGAATGAATGAATTTTTTGAAATTCAATATAAAAACTGCTTTTCAGCTTCGAGATATTTCTTGTGGCTTCCTCTCTGATGAAACGGACTGACTAGCCTAGCAAGTCTTTGAACTAGCTTGATTGCATGCAATGGAAACCCTTGAAACAATCCTTTTTTATTGAAACCTTGAATTGGTGCCAGAAAAAATGAAGGCTCTGGCAGTAGGTCCAACTGTATCTGAGTACAGTATAATGTCTCTAGGGATATTTGTCAATCTTCTGGTGGGAACTTGATTTTGACACATTGAAGAGTGTCTCCAGTTTGTTGGATTTGCCTGGTGATGATAAATGTGTGCAGTATATCCCGACCCCGTTTTGTCTTTTTTTTCCTCGATAAATGCATCAAATTCATGCACGCTTTTTAGGGTTACATCGGTCGAGTGTCGGCGCTGCTCGACGAAACGGATGGTGTTAGTCCGTTGACGGATGACAGAAACCGAACCGATTCGTGGGGTTCACTTCCGGCGTCTGACCCATTTCTGGTTCTTGCAAGCGTCTCCAAGGATCCTAGGAAAAGTTTTGAATCGGAATCGAGGGAAGATGAGGTTGCGTACTTCCTACAGAAAATCTGTTAGAATATCGAATGAACAGTTGAATCTCAATAACTGCTGGAAACTCTTTCGGTCGAATTTTTTTCAAGTTCCTATGTCTGAATTTCCTTAGAAACAATGTATGTAAAACCTATCAAACTCAAAGGCTTTTCTCTTAAACCTCATCCACAACTTGAGTTTTCTGAGGACTCTTGTCTATTACTTTTGTGGCACAGGAAGGAGTAGCAATGTGTTCTGAAAGGAAGTGAAAGAATAATTTTGCAAGTGAACCCTTGCCTCCAAATTCTGCATCCTGTCAACTAATTGAAAAATAGATTCAAGGCCCAAAATAACACCACTTACAAGTTCCTGCACTTCTACGTTTGGTACAATAAAAATGCTTGCTTCTGGTGCAAAAATCTTCCGTAATTCTATTTCTTTCTTGCTGGTCTTTCAAAATTTGACTTGAAGAGGTTTGACTGTAAATTGACCGACTGTGAAAATCTGCAATTCTTACTGTGACAAACAACCTTGAAGGCTAGAAAATCATGGTTGTTTGTTTAAAATTGTGTCAAAACCAAGCCCTGTCAACCCTTTACTGAAGGCCACAAATATTTTCTGAAGAAATCTCCCTTCATTTTTTATTTTGGGGAAACCCCACCACCAAGTCACCCAGCAAAAAATTTCGGAGTTGCTTGGCTACTTGCCAGCGTGCTGCCGGCGCGCCAGCGTTATGCGTCGGCCCCGACTCCCAATGTGTCGTTTTCCATCTCCCTTGGGTGTCGGGCCACCCGTCTATTGCAGCGTCCACCCGACGCCCGCGCACCCCGCGCCAACATCATCCCCTCNGTTTTCCATCTCCCTTGGGTGTCGGGGCACCCGTCTATTGCAGCGTCCACCCGACGCCCGCGCACCCCGCGCCAACATCATCCCCTCCCCATACCCGTCGTTTAGGTGTTGCTTTCGACTAGCAGAGTACCTAACCACGGAAGGCATTGTAGCGTCTACCCGTCAGCTAGCCGGTTGAAATTAATTTTGACCTTATATTGGGGTATTTTTTCCAAATCGGTGTATTAAGATATATTTTGTCCAGCAACAACTTCCACAAGATCTCAACAGACAATGAATACCGAAGGTATGCTTGGGCATCCTTTTATCAATTCAATGATGCAGAGAGGAATGACCGGTCATGAGCCAGCGCGAGGAAAAGTAAAACGGATGCGCGTGACCGCAATACATTCTGTATAACTAATGCGAGGTAACGGGATAAGTGAGTCACAAGAATGTACACTAAGTCAAGTATTCTGTGCTAGTCAGGGTACACTCAAATAATATAAGATGACAGCGTTGTAGCGTCTACCCGTCAGCTAGCCAGTTGAAATTAATTTTGACCTTATATTGGGGTATTTTTTCCAAATCGGTGTATTATGCCGCTGTACATTTATGTCGGCTTATTGTTATTAATTTAATTTTATGTTATTCTGTTGAAGCCGATCAAAGCCGATTGTTATCGGTCTTTGTTGTTTTTGAATGTTGGTTTACTGGAAATTTTACCGACATGCGTTGGTATGCATTTACGAGACGCCGATGATGTATAAATGTAATTTTTGTTATGCTGATTCGTATCAGGTATCTGCGTCTGGTGCGGTGAAATGTCGGTTACCTTAACCGACGTACGTCGGTATGCTTTTAGCAGACCCAGGAAAACCTTTTCGAGTCCCCAGACGCATCCCGGACGGGTCCATTTATGTTGAACCACTGAGGTACAGATTCTTGCAATCGGACATCACTGCAAACTTGAAATTTGTGCCGCAGATCTGCAAGAAGTTCATTTCATTAAATTCTACTTTCTATCAATTTTCATTCAAAGTATTTGTTAAAGTATTCGTTAAAATTCAAATTTGGATTCTACTAGTTTTAAACGTAAAGTGTGCTTTTGACCGATGTACTATGCCGATGGCTGTCGGCATTAAAAGTGCAATTATCCCGATGTATAAACATGCTGTGTAATGATACGCCGATGAATGTTGGCATTGTTTTCTCCAATGTTTGCACATAATGTTCGTATTTTTATGTTTTCATGTATTCCACATGAATGCATATTTTACTAATCATTACTCATGAATTCATGCAAATGCGTTAAAATGTATTATCTCCACGTAAACTCCCCTAATTATGTTGCATTCATAATGACTCACCAGGATAATAAGGACTGCTACTTCTACGTCGTACTCCAACTTGTACAGCAGGATTCCAAGGTTCGTCGTGTGATTTGGAAAAATCACTGTCACCACTTGTTTCTTGTCCTGATGATATCTTACACTCAGCAACTCTTCTTGGTTGCTGAATATGACGTTTTGGTCTGCCACCAAGACCAGGAGCTATACCTGGCGAAAGTATGCCCTGACTGTATTGCGTGTGTGAATTCTTCACCAATGGGTCCTGGTGGAACGCTGGAATACACATATGCATGTTCAAATGTCTGAGGATTATCATCATTTCATCATAATTTCATGTTTCATAACCACATCATTGTATAGTCATGTACAATTTCAATGTAATTATTTATGTCAACATCGTAAATATCATTTGAACATAAAAAGTTAATATGGGAAAGAATGAAGATAAATATAAAGTACTAACCTATTCTACCCTCGCACCAAATGTTCCCAATTTGGTATTCCCACATCTGAGAGGGATCAGGAATGCAGAAAGATGAGAGGAACTAGATGTTCCTATGCCGTAAATGCGCATGAGTATAGCTTTAGCCTGTAAAAGTAAATGTATGCATTAGAATTATATGAAATGTGTGATATTCAAATTTTAACAATTATACCTGCTTCCTTCATGAATTATTGAATAGTTGTACACCATCAATGTGTACATCAATCCAGAAACACGTTTCTTCCTTTGTTGTCTTATTACTGCTACCATTTCGATCATCATACTTCATAACCTCACTTGCAATATTTGAGGTCAATGCAGAAAGAAAACCGTTTGTCGAAACAGATTTGTCCATTCCCCTGACAAGACTAAGAAGGTGCGTGTGGGAGCAACGTTCAATGAGACCTTTAAAAAAGTTTCATACATTAATATACCAGCATATTAAAAATGAAAATACTTGTTTTATAACTGTTGTACCTGGCGAATGACCTAGAATGCATTTTTGTAAGCCGAGGTGCAAGTACCAATTGCCATTAGTTTCCTTTCCATCAAAGGCAGAAACCGGGGTAAGATTTGACGTTGAGACGTCATACACTTGTGGACTCCCAAACATGTCTGGCGGTACCTTTATTTAATACGAGAACATAC